CTAATGAAGTCAATGCCCAATAAAGTGTGTGTGTGTGTGTGTGTATTATAATCGCGATATCAGTGTTTATTTAAAAAAAAAAATAATCTATTACATCTGGCCCGGCCATAAGGTTTTACATTTTGTGTGTAATTGCTTATATGTGAGTTATATTAATTGTATTTTTTGCTTGCTGCTTTGTTGTTTACTGATGTGTTGTTGGGCTTGGCCTCATGTAAGCCGCCCCGAGTCCCCTTGGGGAGATGGTGGCGGGGTATAAATAAAATTATATTATTATTATTATTATTATCAGTGTCACTATCATGACTAAGTAAAGATCATGATTTGGAACAGTTCACAATTCCTACTTCCTCACAATTTTGATTAAAAAATTGCCATGATTGTAACTGAGCAACACTTACATTGGGAGACGGGGGTCCATTCTGATGGCAAATAGAGCAGAAGTGAATGATGTTTCCATCAGGTCTTGAGTCAGGAGAAGTTTCTTATCAAAGCATATTTAACTCTGTAGCCATCTTGGTTGTTTCTCATGGGAATTTGGTTGTATTTTCCTAGTGTTCTACATATGTTATGAAGAATAACACATCGTTTCCAAAACATTTAAAACAGAAACATCCATGCATAAATTTGGAAATGCAGTAGTGGAAGGAAAGCGATGGTTTACTTAGGTTGTTGTGTGCCTTCAAGTAGTTTCCAACTTACGGTGACCCTAAAGGTTTTTGTTGGAAGGATATGTCAGGATGGGTTTGCCTGCATTCCCTCAAGGCCGTGAGTGTGTGACTTGCCCAAAGTCACCTTGCAGGTTTCCACAGATGAATGGGAATTAGAATCCAGCTCCCAGAGATATAATCCAGTGCTCAAACCACCATATCCTGCTGGTTCACTTGCTGATTATTGTTGTATTTTTAATTTAGATCTGGATGTGCATCTTTTTCCTTCAACATGGAAGTACACAAAGCTTCCACAGGACTGAAGACAGAGAAAAAGTAAGATAATAAACTAGTGTTTAAACATCGACTTGCAAAATGGCACGAGTTGCATAACTTGTTGTCCCAAATTGCATCACAGACAGGATCGCTGACACTTATGCAAGAAAATTCCATGGAGCAATAAAAAGAGCATTAAGAGCACAACTTTAGAATAGTGTGTTATATCTCCTGAACAAAAGACCTGGGAAGAAACCTGGGAAGAGGCCTCAGGTTCCCTCCCTTCTTTTAAAAACATCAATGGATCTTGAAATGTATGAGAGGTTCACCTGTTTTCCCAGAAAGGACTGATTTCCTACCCCAAAAGAGCAATCATCAGAGAACATAGTCAATCCTCCATATTTGCAGATTTGATTATTAATGAATTTGATTAAAATAGTCTCTCTAAGAACCTCTCACCAGTGTAATTCTATAGTCAAATTGTGCAGGAAGTAGTGATGATAGTGATGTTTATTTATATCCTGCTTTCTCTCTCTACAAAAGAAACTCAAAATGAGACAAAAGAGACTCAAAAGAGACCAAATGAAATATGATGTTAAGCCTAAAATATAGAAACATTAAAATAGAATTAAATTGAGTTGATCATAGTCATTCCAGAGGACCCTAGAGGTTGCGGAGAGGTATTCTCTCTAGGAATCTCTATGTCCTTCAAAATTATTTAGAGGAGTTGACCATACAATCATACCGGAGAAACAAGATAGTCCTAAAGTAAAATTAAGAAATTTTATTATTTTTACTTTCTACACTTTTTTGAAGGCCTTGTGCCTCTAAATCAGTGTTTCTCAACCTGGGGGTTAGGACCCCTGGGGGAGTTGGGAGGGAGGTGTCAGAGAGGTCTCCAAAGACCATCAGAAAACACAGTATTTTCTGTTGGTCATGGGGGTTCTGTGTGCGAAATTTGGCCCAATTCTATCATCGGTGGGGTTCAGAATGCTCTTTGATTGTAAGTGAACTATAAATCCCAGCAACTATGACTCCCAAATGACAAAATCAATCCCCCCTCCCCCAACCCTACCAGTATTCAAATTTGGGCATATTGGGTATTTGTGCCAAATTTGGTCCAGTGAATGAAAATACATCCTGCATATAAGATATTTTCACTACAGTTCATAACAGTAGCAAAATTACAGTTATCAAGTAGCAATGAAAGTAATTTTATGGTTAGGGGTCACCACAACATGAGGAACTACGTCATTAAGGGGTTGTGGAATTAGGAAGGTTGAGAACCACTGCTAGGGATGTTAAGAATAACTTGTTTGGACACTTAACTTGTTCAGGAAGCAATTTAATCAAAGAACTGGCTTAAAAGATGCCGAAGCAGAGAAAATTGAAATCTATCAAATGTATACATTTGCATTTTTTAAAAAGAGCAAACATTGTGTAAATATAATTTACGAAGGACTGACAACAGCAAAATGCAAAACTATTTAGGGAAAAAAAACACCTGGACAAAAATCCCTTTGCAATCACAAGTTCATGCCAAGTGGGAATGAAAGGAGTGATGCTCACAAAGTGCCTATCTTCCAACAGTCCCATTTTGGCAGGGAAAATCCAAATTAATCCCTCCTCTACCCATTTTTCTCAGTTGTTTTTAAAATATACCAGCTTCTCCCTCCTTCTCTTCTCTTTTCTCTATATTCTTAGCCTACTTCCATGGCTGCAAACTGAGCTAAAAGTGCAAAATAAGTTTGCACTCATTTAATGGGAGATGGTAGGAAGAGGAGAGGAAGGAATATTTTCCTTCCCAGTAGGCTGAGGCCAGCTGCATCATCTCGCAGTTTGTCTAATCACACAATCATATTCATACACTAAAATGATCAAGGGCCTGGAAAACAAGCCCTATGAGGAGCGGTTTAAAGAGCTGGGCATGTTTAGCCTGAAGAAGAGAAGACTGAGAGGAGACATGATGATGGCTATGTATAAATATGTGAGAGGAAGTCGTAGGGAGAGGGAAAAGCTTCTTTTCTGCTGCTGTGGAGACTAGGATGTGGAACAATGGCTTCAAACTACAGGAAAGGGGATTGCACCTGAACATTAGGAAGAACTTTCTGACTGTGAGAGCTATTCAGCAGTGGAACTCTCTGCCCCGGAGTGTGGTGGAGGCTCCTTCTTTGGAGGCTTTTAAACAGAGGCTGGATGGCCATCTGTCGGGGGTACTTTGAATGCGATTTGCCTGCTTCTTGGCAGAGGTTGAACTTGATGGCCCACAAGATCTCTTTTAATTCTATGATTCTGTGATTCTATAAATAGATTATATGCATACATAAACATTAAAAACATTTGTCTCAACATTAAAATCCACAGCTTAAACCATCTTGCGTAATCTGGCAATCTATGTGCTGAGCCAAAGCAAAAGAGGAGGCTGCTTCAGGAGCTGCACCTGGAGCTCCTATTTGAGGGACTTCATTTCTAATTGAATGTGGATCGACCAGGAGGGTCTATGGACCCTGCTGTATGAAATGTAATGGCCATGGCCCAATGCTATGCAATCCTGGGATTTGTAGTTTGGTGGGGCATCAGCATTCTATGGGAGAGATGGCTTAAATTGTAATTTGTTATTGTTCTGCTTTTAATTGTATGTTGCCTCGGAGAGATGGAGGCGGGGTAGAAAAATAAAGTTCTCCTCCTCCTCCTCCTCCTCCTCCTTGACCTTGTAAAACTACAGCTCCTATGACTCTATAGAATTGATCCAGGGCAGTTAAAGTGCATTCATTCTACAGCATAGATGTACCGCAAATATTTTCCTTGCCATAGCTAGAAGTTTTGTTTTGAAAGAGGGAATTTTAAGCAGGCAGCAACTGCAATGGCCAAATAACAAAGACCGCACTTTTTGCCGCTGCACATTACATTTGGCAGCATAGTTTGAATCTGAGGACAGCGAGTTGAGTTTCTTCTGTCATCTCTAGCTCCCCATGTGGGGACCTGAGAGAAGCCTCCCACAAGGATGGTAAAACATCAAACATCCGGGCTTCCCCTGGGCAACATCCTTGCAGACGGCCAATTCTCTCACACTAGAAGCGACTTGCAGTTTCTCAAGTCTGGGTTGTTGTAGGTTTTTTTAGGCTGTATGGCCATGGTCTAGCGGCATTCTCTCCTGACGTTTCGCCTGCATCTATGGCAAGCATTCTCAGAGGTAGTGAGGTTTGTTGGAACTAGGAAAAAGGGTTTATATATCTGTGGAATGACCAGGGTGGGACAATACTACTAATAATAAAATGATATAATAATTATATATTTATATTACATGTAATATTACAGTACTAATAATATTACAGTAGAATTGATATAGTGCAATATAGCAATATTTAAAACTGATATTGTACTATGTTAATAATATATTGTATGTATATATACCTTGTAAGCCGCTCTGAGTCCCCTTCGGGGTGAGAAGGGCGGCATATAAATGTCGTAAATAAATAAATAAAATAAATAAAGGACTCTTGTCTGCTGGAGCTAGGTGTAGGTGTGAATGTTTCTCAAGTCGCTCCTGATATGAAAAAAATTACATTTGGCAGCAAAGCCTTTTTTTGGTTTCAGAGTTTTGAAAATAGAAGTGCGTATTAGATCCGATAGCACATTGCACTTGAGTAAATACGGCACATTGACAAATATCTCTTGAGTGCAAGTACAACTTTTTTAAAAGCAGGAAATGTAAGGTAATAAAAGTGATGAAAACCTGAAAAACAGCCAAATTTCTCAGAAGGCTTTCATCAAAGCTCTGGCCATCCATCCAAATCAAAGTAATCCTGCCTTGTAGGAATAAATTCTTACAGCATTCGTTGAATGAAAGCTGTCCACATTCTTTCACAATTCAATACACCATAAAAACTCAAAATGAAAGGAGTGTCTAGTCTCAGTTTTGGGAGGAGTGATGGTTGCTAGTTTAGAACAATGGGTGTTTATGTCATTCCTTTCCCTAAATTGGGAAGTGGAGTCTACCTGTTACAACCCTTTCTTTATTCCAACATTGTCTTGCTTCATTCCCAGTGGGAAGATGACCTCCAAGCAATGTGTCTGATCTGTTGAAACATCAAGGGAGGCACCCATGCAGGCTAGAAGGGAAAATACGCCACACCCCTGGAGCCTGGGAAACCCAACCCTTAATCCCAACTGCAAGGATATAAAGTGTCCCCTTGTGAATCTCTTTGACGTTCCTGAAATACGCGGAGTAGGATCCTGATTGTGCTGAAACCAAGAAGATGAAAATTGACTGGGGCAGGATGCCAGCCAGGATGAAACTGGCCTTCCTCTTTGCTGTGGCTTTGCTTCTTCCAGGTATGAGAAAGGCTGTTGATTGAAAGTGTAGACAAGCTTGAATCACCCTGGAAAAGATGGGCATATATTATAGGAAATGTAGTAACAGATTGTTGACAACTAATGTTTCATACAGTCTGACAAGTCGTACAATTTGTATGATAAAGCTTTTTAAAAAAGCAATAACTAGGCAGAGAGATACTTACTTACTTAGGCAACCCCTCGTAACCCGAGGATGATGGTCCAACAAGTGTAGTGTCTTGGCGGTAGATACGTAGGTGGATGGGGAGCCCTGCTCTTGATCTGGCCTTGGCAGTGGGTTCGTAGGTGGCTGTGGAGCCCTATCCCTGATCCACATGTTCTCCCACAGTGAAGACATTGGTTTCCAAGTGGAAGGCTTGGCTTGATGTGCCTTCCTCTTGGCACATTTCTCCCTTTCACCATCCATTCGTACTTCTTTGGATTCTGCAGCACTTCTGGTCACAGCTGACCTCCAGTTAGAGTGCTCAAGGGCCAGGGCTTCTCAATTCTCAGTGTCTATGCTACAGTTTTTAAGGTTGGCTTTAAGCCTACCTTTAAATCTTTTTTCCTGTCTACCAACATTACGTTTCCCATTCTTGAGTTCGGAGTAGAGTAAATGCTTTGGGAGATGATGATTGGGCATTCAAAAAACGTGGCCAGTCCAGCGGAGTTGATGGCGTAGGGGCATCGCTTCAGTGCTGGTGGTCTTTGCTTCTTCCAACATTTGTCCGCCTGTCTTCCCAGGATATTTCTGGATTTTTCAGAAGCAATGCTGATGGAATCGTTCCAGGAGTTGAGTTGATGTCTGTAGACAGTCCACGTTTCGCAGGCATATAGTAGGGTTGGGAGGACAATAGATTTATAAACAAGCACCTTGGTATCCCTATGGGATCAGGCTGAAAGATATTATTATTATTATTATTATTATTATTATTATTATTATTATTATTATTAACTTTATTTGTACCCCGCTAGCATCTCCCGAAGGACTCGATGCGGCTTACAAAGGCCAAGGCCTCAAAACATAACATAACAATACACAACTTAAAGCAAATCAAAACAATTAAAGCAATATTAAAAACAACAAAGCAATAAACAGTACACCAAGACACAATAAAACTGGGCTGGGCCAGAGTAATGGGTACAGATTAAAAGTGCTGATGTGACAGGTGGTATATGGGATTTTAGGGTAGGTGCAGTGTGCCAGCAATCTTAATTTCTACTAAAGTGCTTCTGGGACTTGTTATTGGAGTTTTCCTATTCTGGAAAGGCACATCGGAACAGCCAGGTCTTCAAGTTCTTCCTAAAGACTGCCAACGTAGGGGCCTGTCTAAGATCTTTGTGGAGGGTGTTCCATAATATTACTAATTTGATTGACTGATGAAGTTGAACAAATAATTTGTGAGACGCAGACATGTTGGCTGCAAATATCTGAGAACTGCAGCCTCAAAAATAACTTTTCTAATATCTGATCTAGAAAAATACCACAGATAAGTGATCTTGATAGGCTTGTCACCTGTGTGTTTATGTAATTCCCTTCTTAAAGCCATCTAAATCATGGTTATGAATCAACTCTTATGAAAGTGATACAAACCAGAAATAGATGGTTTTGTCCATCTCTATGTAAGATACAAGATTATTCAGGTGATTTATGAAAATGAAAGGAGAATAAGACATGTGCATTTAAAGAAAACCCATAAAAGGATACATAAATCTTTTCCTTTTAAGTACTTGTTTGGTACTTTATTGATTTTGAGGATGAAGGGGAGACAAATATAATTATGAATAATGGAACAAAATATCTTAAATAAGAGCGGATGTCTGGCTATTGACATTGGACTTCTGAATATTTTAGCTTGATCTTTTAACATTTTTGCAACTTGCCATGAATTTCATCTTAGGAGAAAAGTGGGATATAAATTCTACAAATAAACAAAGGACTCCAATTATCTTCTTTGTGTCCTGCTATCCTTAATGCTCTCCAGTCTAAAAGGAACCAAATGTATGCTTTTCTATGCCTGGATGAACAGTTTTGATCTTAAACTGGTCACTGGGACCCGCATATACACAAATCTCCCCAATAAGACAAAGTGAAACTAAAAGTAGACCTTGGGTCTATTTTCCAGTTTTGCACTAGAGAGCGACTGTTCTTGTGAAACCCTCTTATAGTGCTGAGGCTTATCACATATGGTTTTCTGTAGGTGAGCAGATGGAGACTACTGGCATATGTTCTGTATCAGAAACTAGAGCTGATGTCGTCTATCCAGTGCAATTTTCTGAGTCGGCACCCGAAATAATCAAACAGAATCTAAAGTTGACCAAAACTGATTTGTAACCCTTTTGGTACTAATGTTGGAGAGTGGCCCCTGGTCAAAGCAGTCCCTGGTCAAGTGGTCCCTGGTCAAAAAAAGGTTAGGAACCACCAGGCATGTGGGGGGGGGGGGGGGGGGGGGGGCTTGAGGGGCTTCAGCCCCCCCCCCCAAATTCTCATGGTGGTTTGCGAAAAGGCCTTACTGGTGCATTATGTTATGTTTATTCATATCATGATCTGATCACCATACTCAATATATCCCATATGCATGGGGGTATTGGGGTAATGATACAAAAGGTTTGCTAGGGTAGACCCTCCTTCACTCAGACTCAGCCTCCCCGAAACTCAGCCCACCCCCCAACCCCCCCCCGAATCGAAAATCCTGGCTACGGGCCTGGGAACCACTGGCCTATACCTTCCCAGTGTCCTGGTTTGACAGGGAAAATCCCCATTTATCTCCTAACTCTCTGCTTTTTTAGTGAATTTAAAAATATCTCCCTTTCTCATACTTTCTCCCTTCATTCTCAGTTTACTTCAGATAGTGCAAACTGAGTTCAAAATAAAAAAAGTAGTTTACATTCAATTAACTCAGGAAGGAAGAGGAAAGATGGGGATAGGGAATCACTCTTTCCGATCAGCTCAGGCAAAAGCAAACAACCCAGCCTCTCCTAACTAGCCTGTTGTCCTCTATTAGTAACTTTTTCCATCTTGTGTTGTCGAAGGCTTTCATGGACAGAATCACCGGGTTCCAGAAGCATTATCTCCTGATGTTTCGCCCACATCTATGGCAGGCAAACTCAGAGGTTGTGAGGTTTCGCCATCTTGCCACATCATCACATGGGGCTTTTGCCCCATCATAGGACCCTTTTCCACACAGAGCCCGTATGGAGCCTGCCAGAGCCCATCACATGACGTAGGGCTACTTCCAATGGGGCTCTGTGTCAGCTCCATGTGGAAAACATGCTGGGAGAAAGAAATCAGAACATGGGTGACTGTCTGTGTTCTGATTTAGTAAGCTGGGAACAGAGAGAGCGGAGCTGGACAGTCACAGCTTTCCCTGTGTGATGGGGAAGGGGGTGATGTAGGGCGCAGAGTGACAGTTTTCTCCGCTGCCCCTCGGATTCACCATGTTGACCCTCAGATTCTCCCACTGTTGCCCGGCTTCAGGACCTCCATGTGATGAGGTCCTTGATCACACCTTGCTATTGCTTGTTTTCATCTGTGAAATGCTGCAAGGTATGCATTGCCAGTGTAAAATAATATTAAGATTTGGCCAGCTTCTATACACAAACTGGGAAGCAGTGCCACCATGTCTTTCCTCCTAGGCAAGAACATGCCATGGCTTGATGGCCAGACTTTTCCCCAGTCTGGACCACCTGATTTGACTCTGCACTGTAATTATTACTGTGACGTCACTAATCTCATTATTTTTTCATTCCACAATTTCTGTATTCTGGTGAACTTATGCTAAAGGTGATGGACAATTTAATTGGTTTCGAGGTGGGGCAAAATTGTTTGGTAAGTGAGACTTACAATTAAAATAGTTTGCAGCAGCAATAACCATCATCATAGAGAACTGTGTGAGGGCTAAGTTCCCTTGAAGCATAACATGATGTAACAAAATTTGAAAAAAAAATATGTTCCTGATTTGAAAGAGTTATTTCCTGCTTAGTTGTGTGGTACTTACTTTGACAGTAGTTGTCATACTCCAGAAACTTCAGTTTTGTGGATGCCCCTTCTAAACCCTAGTCCTTTACTTCTTCTGGTTTCTTGGCTTCAGTCTCCACTCTTATTAATTATTTGAGCCAAGGTAGGGAGAACAATGTTTTTCAATGTCTTCACCATCTACTTTATAATTATACAAATCATTTGTGGTCATTATTTTACTTTTCATAACACTCAGCTGTAAATTGTCCTTTCAGGTTTTATAACACTATGTAGCAACATTTGAAAAAAAAAATCTGGTCCTGGTTTGAACATGTCATTTCTTGTTTAATTGTGTGGTACTTACTTTGAAAGTAGTTGTTATACTCTAGAAACTTCAGTTTTGTGGCTGCCACAAATTATGTTGAATTGGGGTCACAACCTCTGAGGATGCGTGCCATAGATGCAGGCGAAATGCCAGGCGAGAATGCTTCTAGAACATGGCCATATAGCCCTAAAAAACCTACAACAACCCAGTGATTCTTGCCATGGAAGCCTTCGACAATATATGTTGAATTGGTCGAGACTCAATGAGATATTAATTGAAAAATGTTAGCAAAACGTGCTGCAGGATGTCCCTCAAAAACAAAGTTTTTGCAGTTTAATAAACTTTTTCCATGTTTTATGATAGAACCAATTAGGAAATGACATTTATAACCCAGGAACAAAAAATTGTGTTACATAGTGTAACACAATTGTAATCTTCCCTTTGGCGACCCTGCTCTCAGCAGTATTAGTTGAGTCTGTGTTATGTGGCTTTAGACTCCACCGTAGAGGAAGATAAGGGTAATGGGTTTCCCACACTGAGCTCCTGAAAGCAGTGCACTCCAGGTGCCAAATGTGGTGGAAAGTCTACCTGTGCAGAGTCATATGTCTTCTCCAGCAGAGAAAGTTGGCAAACTCATTTCTCAGTAGAGAGAAGCCTAGCTGCTCTTCTCTCAGTAGAGAGAAAGGGCAAACTCTTTTTCCAGTGGAAAGAAACAAT